TTCAGGAAAAGAACATGGAAAGTTTGTACTACAAAATCTAAACATGAGAAAGATTTAAGAGAAAAAAAAGCACATTGCATATGTCAGATAATCTAGTCTGATTATCTGAGCTGTGCTAGCTACAGGGAAGCACTTACCCTTGAGTCCAGCTAGAAGTTAGCAGGGTAAGAAGGAACAAACCAGAATAACATAAAGACTAGCAACAAGGCTCAGGAAAGCAGACAGGAGCCCTAACCTAGCAGCTAAATATTTGGGTTCAAGCAAAGAATGAAGAAGAAACTTAAAGAAAATCAAACCAACCAAAACAAAAACCACTTACAGCTGAAAAATTGTTAAGCAGCTCAATAAACCTTGCTACTTATTATGGGGGAACAAATCATTACAAATTCTCAAAACATCCAACTCTTTGTATATGGTGTGATTAACAGTCATTAAATATAAACAGACATTAAAAAATGAAATATAACCACAAGTGATACGTAAAACAAGTACGGACCAATCTTTCATGTTAAAAAGAAAAGGGTTTCAAACAAAAAAAAAAGAATGTTGAGCATGTTTGGGAATTTTGATGCATCACTAACACAGAACGAACAGAGATTGGTGCTTTCAGACAAGTGACCACTTTTATGAAGCTTAAATATAGCCAAAAGGTGTAATATATATTGGCAGCATTATTGACTATAATACTGTGCATGATTTCAACAGTAAACAAGAACAGTTTTGGGTTTTTTCTTTTATAATGCGAACATCGGAGAAAAGCACACCTTTGCGTGAATGGAGTTTTTCTTTTACATTGTGGCAAAACAAAAAAAGCAAAACTTTTCACTCTAACAGGTGTTGTTCACCCACATAAAAGGAATTGTAGAGTCATACAATAATTAATGAATAGCAGGATCTATTTTTTTTTCAGTACTTAAATTGCAAATAAAATAAACTCCACCCTGGTTCGGAGCTGTCTGCTTACTTCCAAGTCAAGCGCTGCTATCGAACTGCGGATGAGAATTTGAGTGCTGCTCAAAGTTTGTACTTACTAAGTCAAAAGAGGTGGGAACCAAATGAATTCACTATTTCTCCCAAGTTTCCCCAACAGCAAAATATGTTCTTCTCAAGTTTCTGTTTAACAGACAGCTCCATCACAGGAGCGGAGGGCTGGATTTTCTCTGCATGTGCATGCATGCGCGCGTGCCATCTCGGACTGTTACAACATGAAAGCTATAACAACAGTTACTCGTCAAATGGCTTAACATTTACTTCTTTGCACATCCTCATTCACCATAGGCTCTAATAAGCACAAAAAATATGACAGGTATAAAGATAAATATTCAAGAATAAAACGTCTCGCAAAAGTCCTTACCTTTCTGCAGGCAAAAAAAAAACCAAACCAAAACACCCAAGCCAAAAAAACCCAATAACAAACCAAGACGCTTTTAAAAATGCAATACTTGATATGTTTGAATTTCAAGACTGAAGGAGCTGAGATACGTATTTGGGCATTTAAGACTCCCCATAAGCCATCATGTGTGGCACGCATGACTCACTTCTGCTTCTGATTATTTAACTGCTGTGCCCAATGACTTTTGCCATGAGCATTGCCACGTACAAATGTTGAAATATGAAAAACGAGTAGCCCTTGCTGTTGAGACGAAGGTGTACTATGGCGTGCTGCCCTCCCCCTCTTGTAGGATGAAGGTCCTGTGCACAGAGTTTTCAGAGGGATCTAGATCCAAGGGAGGAGGAGGAAGGAAGACCGAGGACAAAACACACTAGCCCAGAGGATGCTGAAGCTGCAAGTCATCATCAGACTGAGGAGCTCACTGGTTTCCCCCTTCCACGCTTTGGCACAACACAACTGAAAGGGTTTCCCAGTGCCTGCAGCAAAAAGGGGAGCCTGAAGCCACCCAGCTTATGGGGAAAACACATTGTGGATGGAAAGAGGGTGGTGGCATAAAAAAAGCCGAATGACCCGGATTTGGAGCTGGTATTGGCATGAGAACAAGTGAGAGAAACCGAGGTCAGATCCTGACCCCTCAGATGCCCTGGAAGGACCAGGGGGTGAAATCTCAGCTGTTTTCACCAGAAGCGAGGATGAGGGATCCCTGCCTCCTGGCAGGCAAGTGAGATGGAAAAAGCAAGGTCAAACCTGTGGCATTTCTATAGCTTTGAGCACAGTCAGGCTGATAGAGGTCTGCAGGACCACGAGCAGCACAAGTCTCTGGTGGACGTGCTGGGCTGTGGTTAGATGCAGAGAGGACTCCTGGGCTCAGTCACCGACTTCGCTGCTCCCTGGCAAGGACTAGGACAAACCAGCTGCCCCTTCTCCATCCCAGTTACCTAGCCAGGGGGGTTCAGCTCTCCCCACACACACAGTGCTAGGCTGTGCATGGGGACAACACACCCGAAGGTCCACAGCCCCAGGCATCCCCTTTCCCTTCCCAAACTCCTGCCAGACTTTGCTACAGCTGCTGCCAGGCAATTAGGATGTGTCTGGGAAAGGGAACCTTCACCTGACCCCACATACTGGTCTGGCAAAGTGAAAACTCTGTAAACATGAGGAATTTACCCAGCAGAAAAATTCTCCGGGCTGATGTCTGCAGGGATGGGAGAAGCCTGGAGGGAAAGGTGATTCCCCAGTTTGATAGTTTCTTGTTGCTCTCATCCTAATCCGCAGGGATCATGCTGGGATGAGCAGGAGTGCATCCTCTTTGCACCAACCACACAGCTAAGAGCATTTTTCAGCATCACTTATTAAGAGAGGGAGCCACAAGCGGCATCCCTCTGCTGCTCTCTCTTGCTACACTTCGAAGGCTTTTAGCATATAAAAAAGCAACTGTTGAAGGACCTGTGCCCTCTACATCCAAGAACCTGCGCAGAGGGACATACAACCCCTGGGAATGCTCTCAGGTCAGCACGACTCAGCTGAGGCTCATCACAGCCAGGAAACTTCCCACTTGCAGAAGCCCAATTCCTACCTCCCATTTTGGCTTTCTGAGAGGCGTCTTTCCTTCCCAACCCCAATCCTTTACATCTTGCACCCCCAAAGCCAGTGATCTGACTGGGATGAAGAGGATGAGCGTCACTGAAATGAAAATACTGACTATGGGTTTACCACACTGCATCATGCTACGTCCCCACTGACAGCAGCAGCAATGCAAGGCAGAAGGGAGTCCAAAATATGCAGGCATGTGGAGGATTAAAAAAAAAAAAAAAAAAAAAAAAAAAAAAAAAAAAAAAAAAAAAAAAAAAAAAAAAAAAAAAAAAAAAAAAAAAAAAAAAAAAAAAAAAAAAAAAAAAAAAAAAAAAAAAAAAAAAAAAAAAAAAAAAAAAAAAAAAAAAAAAAAAAAAAAAAAAAAAAAAAAAAAAAAAAAAAAAAAAAAAAAAAAAAAAAAAAAAAAAAAAAAAAAAAAAAAAAAAAAAAAAAAAAAAAAAAAAAAAAAAAAAAAAAAAAAAAAAAAAAAAAAAAAAAAAAAAAAAAAAAAAAAAAAAAAAAAAAAAAAAAAAAAAAAAAAAAAAAAAAAAAAAAAAAAAAAAAAAAAAAAAAAAAAAAAAAAAAAAAAAAAAAAAAAAAAAAAAAAAAAAAAAAAAAAAAAAAAAAAAAAAAAAAAAAAAAAAAAAAAAAAAAAAAAAAAAAAAAAAAAAAAAAAAAAAAAAAAAAAAAAAAAAAAAAAAAAAAAAAAAAAAAAAAAAAAAAAAAAAAAAAAAAAAAAAAAAAAAAAAAAAAAAAAAAAAAAAAAAAAAAAAAAAAAAAAAAAAAAAAAAAAAAAAAAAAAAAAAAAAAAAAAAAAAAAAAAAAAAAAAAAAAAAAAAAAAAAAAAAAAAAAAAAAAAAAAAAAAAAAAAAAAAAAAAAAAAAAAAAAAAAAAAAAAAAAAAAAAAAAAAAAAAAAAAAAAAAAAAAAAAAAAAAAAAAAAAAAAAAAAAAAAAAAAAAAAAAAAAAAAGGAGAGGGAAGAAAAAAAAAAAAAAAAAAAAAAAAAAAAAAGAAAAAAAGCAGCAAGCAGAGGTTTTCGGCTGTAACACTCACGGTACAGATGTATGTCTTGCATTGTTATTTTCTACAAATACTGACATGAGGAAGTTAAACTAATATAAAAGCAGTTAAATGATATTGATAAGCAAGGGGCAGATTTTCTGAGTTCCTTACAACAAAATACTCCATAACAGCTTTACAGAGACTATTTTAAATGCTAAAATCTGATTTAATTAGAATTTGCTAATATTTATAACTTTTCCTTATTTTACGTATATTTTATGATACTAATTCTTAAATTTTGCTGAAACTAGTAAGAACTGCTGTATGTTACGTAACAAAGAGGCTCCAGACGTGTGATGGAGACCTTCAAGAAAAATGAGCGAGGAGGCATTCATCTGGTTTATAATCAAATTACATTTGCAAGACAAAAGAAATTGCTCTAAATTTCAAATTAAGCAAACTGGGTATAACTGCACAGGACATGCAGCATAGCTACGACTTAGAAGATGATTGCTTTAAATTCACATCTAACTGGCCTGCAAAGCAACCTGTTAAAAATACCATATGTTTTCCTACAGTTGAATATTCAACAGGAGACCTCTTTTTGTGTGTGCATTTCATACTTGCAAGATTTGCACCTGTAGTTCTGAGCACGTGATGCATTTGACAGACAGCTAATGGCGCTAATGAATCGCTCTGATCTGGGTGTGCAGTTTATTGTGTGGGGGTAAAACGCACGTCTGCAGAAAGCAAGCTGGGTCTCAGGCTCTCAGATCCCAGTCTCTCCTACATCAAGTATTGCACTTTAAAATACTCACTGACAAGTTCCCCAAAGAATTTTGTTTCTTGGGTTTGGTTGTGCTAAACACACAGGTTAACTGGGTCTGGATCCACTGATGTAAAAAGCAGCTTAATGATAATGAAAAAAATTTCATTTTGGAGTCAGAAACATGTGTGCGAATATTGATTTACATCAGTGCAGAAAATCTTTCCATCAAAGACTTCTGCTCTCTAGGAGAACTTATTTACTTACAAAATTGAGAGATTGGGGCGTCTAGCTGGGGTACATTTCCTCCTTTAGCATTTAGCTTTTGCACTTGGGTAGGCGGCACAGGTTTGTGAGACTGGCCGGTGGCTCGGTACATCGCTTGGACCCACAGGATACGGTCCTGCTCATCGTCACTTGCAAAAATCACCGTGTCTCCTTCCTTCACAGCGTTGAAGAATGCTCTGCCGCCCTCCAAACCTGGCAGGAGAGGAAGCAACAACGGAGTGTTGCAGACTTAGAGGCCAGCCAGGGGATCTCCCCCAGCTTCCCACCCCACCACCGCCCCAGGTGTCCCCCCAGCCAGCCTCGCGCTGCCCCCGGCTCCTGGCTGAGCTCAGTCCCCTCCCCTGCGCCAAACTCACCTGTGAGAGAGCCCGCCAGGTCCCCAGGTAGCACCCTGCACCGCGATTACTAAAATATGCCCCAACACACTCAGATTAATTGCTTCTCTCACCTACAGCCCTGTCTATGCAGGTCCCGTGAGGGTTGCACTGCTGGAGCCCCATTAAAAATGAGTTTTATGGGGATGTGGTGGGACGTTTCCCATTAGAGCGGGTGCACCAGTGCTCACACTGCACAAAAGGTGCTGGGGTGATGTGCTTATACCTGTCTTTGTCCTGATTCTTCCCACCTCCCTAACATCGGAATGAACCTGGATTCAAGGTCTTGACAACCAACCTACTGTGTCTTTCTTCGTCTCCTCTGGGGATACCATTACCCACGGCATGGTGAAGGTCACCATGCTCAATGTGTTGCCCCATCGAAATAAAAGAAATGTGGTGCTTCTCCACTTGAAGTAAGGTCTCAGCACCATCTACACAATAGGTGCCTCCAGGTACCAGGGGGCTTTCTAATCCTGTCCCTTCCACTCACTTACATCTATTGGAGAGAAAATGGGGCAGGCAAAAACGCTGGGTTGGTCCCATAAATATCTTCTACAGTAAAGACAGGCATAACTGCTAACCTTTTATTTAGGGAATATAATCTGAAGGCACAGGTTAAGATCATCACTCGATTTGAGCATTCAGTTCACAATGAAATTTTACTGGGAGTTAAGCATCTAATTCACTTAGGCTCCCCAGAGAAGATAAGTCTTTCCCTCCTCTGGTGCAACTCCTAGCTCAATTCCTTAGATCTATTTATAGTAAAGTCATGCATAGCTAATGATCAGTATAAACACAAACATATTTATAATAATGCTGATCACAGTTCAGCTGCAAGCAGGGAGAGAGGACTCCCGTTTGGGAGCCGCACGCAGCGTGGGGAAGACGAGCACCTGCAGGCGCAGCAGCAAGCCGTCGGCCCCCGTACCTGGCTGCGGGTCGGTGTAGTCCACAGTGTATCCGTCGAGCTGCAGCAGCTCTTGAGGTTCAGCTTTTTTCTCCCGGTAGCTGCACATAGCAAATGTATACTGACTAACCTGAAGAAAATCACAAAGCTAAGATGGCACCGGGTGATCACGACACGGCAATCCAAAGCGCTTACAAATGCCATACGCTGATGGTGTGTTTACAGGGACTGGGGGTGGTGGGGTAATTTTGACGGTCAGTGCCCATATGAGACAGACTAAACTTTTTACTAGGCTTTTGCAAAGCTCTCTCTTAACACACCCTGCCATGGCAGGCATCTAATTCTCCGCATCAGTACATACAGCGGTTTAATTTCCTCCAAAAGAGGAAGCTCCACGCTTTAAAACCCTCCTTCGTTCATCCCCAGACAAGTGCAAGAGTGACACCCTGTCACAAACAATGTGAGCTAAATTGCTAGGTGCCAGTCATATTAAAGCAATCTTAAGATCCCACTGATCTCGGCAGTTGTTGTCATCAGTGCTGTAAATGGCAGCTCTCACTCCTCTGAGGTACCATCTGCATGACACAATACATTCAATGTCAAGCTCTTGACGGAAGCCGACTCAGCTGCAGGGGCTCTGCCAGGCTCCCAAATCGCCTTCAGGAGGCCATCAGGCCGCATCAAGACCCCGCGTGTACTCGGCGTGCTGCGATCTGGATGGTCGGCGAGAAGCTCGTCCAGGGAGGAGAGGAGAGGAGAGAATTCTCCGTGCCCCAGGCTAGGAACTTACGGGGAAATTTACTGTCAAATGATTTCAAATGACTTTGTTAAGGTTGTGTCACATCCTGGACACCTGACATAATTTTATTAGTCTGGACATTTTCTTGACCTCTGGAGGAAACTTTAAAACTCTGGTGGGTGGCAATGGATCGTGCTCATCATTTTTTAGAAGTCGGGAGAGGTCCTGACTGATGGGCGAGCGGGTTGGCTGGAGGATTTTGCCTCCAATCTCCAGATAAATTGCTCGGCTACAAATACACATGCAGCACCTATTCTGGTGGCATCTGTAGCTAATAAAATGTCATATATTTAAGTCAGGGACCCATCTATTGGTGTAGCATCTCCCAGCCAGCACTCGGTATATTGCTGCCCTCTACGGGCTTCTGCTAGCTGCCAGCCTGCTCTCAGCAGCCCTGCCTGCACGGTGCCTTCCTCCAGGAACAGCTCCAAAAGCCACCTAAGAATAAACCCTATCATTAACACATTTGTGGGAGTAAGACTAAAAGTGATGCTTTAAGCATCTTGCATCCTCCTTAAAACTACCAGCACTGACGAAAGATTGACAAGTAACAGACCAATAGCAGGAGCACACCAGTGCATATTCTATGCTATGAACTTTGAATGCATACCATCATACCAGCAACACAAAAATTAAAAAGATTAACACGAAGAAATCTAAAAATAACCTAGTGCCCCACAGCACAATATTCAGACGACTCCTGCAGTGTTCATTCAGTTATACTTGCAGTATATTGCTGCCATCTCCTGGAGAAACTCCTGAATGTGCTTTATTTACAGTAAGATCCTGGAGATTTCATCTGAGTGGTGAGGATTTGATTTCTCTGTGTTAGACAGCCTGAACTTCAGGGACTGCATGATAAATTTAATTCCTGAAATGAGTCAGTGCTAACCTACACTGACATTGATTGAAAACATTAATAGAACTAATGATTTTTTTCTTCTCCTGTACGCTCTATAGCAACAGGTAAAATTCATTCAGTAGTTCAGTTTCTTCTTCTCTGACCCTGAACATGAGGTCTGAATTTCAGGCTCTTCTTCATGTACAAATAATTCCTCTCATCTTTGGACCCAGAGAATATTTTTCATCCCTATCAATAAGCCAACCATACCAACACAACAGTAACGTATGGAAAAACACGCGGGCATTTCAGAGCTTATACTTCTCACGTTAAAAGTTATAAAAGACAGATCTAGACAGTAGGCTCTGGTGGAGCCATCCTGGGACAGAGGCAAAGCAAACTGGTCTCTCCTCTCAGCATTCACATGATTTCCTTGGAAGAAGCTGCCCCACCTCATTTTTAGAAGAAACCTCGAAGAGAAACCTACAGGTGGGTCTACAACGTGCGATGAGCCAGGGCTCATCTGGGTTCACCTCCTACTTCTCTACTCGCACAGCTCAAGTGGGAAGCCCAAGCTCAGGATTGCCCGAGGGCCTGCTGGCAGGAGGCGGGCTGGGATCAGGCTGGAGGGAGGAGACGGCTATCGATGGCCTCTGGAAAAGGTGCCAACTGTGCCATGCAGAGTGCCTGCACCTAAACAACTCGAGCTACTGGCTTCAAGGACTAGCGTACCAGTCTGTCAGTCCTATCCTGCCGCCGAAAGCATTTACTGTTTGGGGTCAGAAAGAAGATGACGAGTGCAATGTGGCTCCTTCCATTTACGAGTGGTGTAAAGTAAAATCCGCCAAAATGAGAGTCTAGAAAGCTCGGTATGTCACGATCGTGCTTCATTGCTGAACAGCACTGTAGGGTCAAGTGGAGATTGCAGCTTGCCTTTCATCAGTCCTCTAAACCATTGTGCTTTACAGAGCCTGCTTTCTGTAGAAGCTTAGAAGTGGCCAGACAAGTGAAACAGTTAATAGCAGAAATTAATCTTACAGCCTGCTGAGTTCACACCGAACGGTAGCTGAGTACGAGAGCAAGCGAGCAGATGGGATGGGCAAGATGAATGGTTTGAGTAATTGGAAAAAACACAGATACAGAGAGGGAACTGAAGGAAGACTGAGGAGAAATCTCTGCCCAGTGAAGAACAAACTCTCAAAGCAGCTGGGATTTCATCCAGGGACTTGATGAGGGCCAAGAAAGGAGCATCTAAGGAAGCTGAACTGAACAAAACTAAAAGAAGGGAAATAATCCAAGGCTGCCCTGGCTGGTTCTTTACAAAAAAGGGAAAATGCTTTGAGAAATAACTTGAAACAAAAGAAAAGAAGGAAAGAAAGTGGGGAAAAAAGAGAAAAAGACAAAGAAATTCAGGAAAGGGGAAGCAGACAGCAGGAGACAAATGCCAAAGTTCACTATTCCCAGGCTGCTAAATTAGATTTGACTTTCTTGGCACTCGACCATATTCTGTCACCAACTATATAATCCGACTGATTAATAAATACAGTAGATATGTATTAACCAGTCCTGACTTCGTCCTTGTTTTTGCACCAGAGACTCCTGCTCTAGCAAGCACCGCTTTCCCCAGGATCCTGCTCAAACCTGTTAATTGTCGTTCCTCACACTCCGAGCTCAGTCATCCGCCTCCCCCTTTCTCACTGTTGACATAACACCACCCCACTTGGGTTAAATTCTTAAATGGACCTTTCCTAGATTAACAGCATGCATTTTGTCCCAAGGGAGAGAAACTGTGCTAAGATACTGCCAGCTGTAATACAGCTTTCCACTTTGATGGGAGACTCTTGTCCTCTGGTTGCAGCTGCATGTTGCCTCCCGAGCCCTTTCCTGACACAAATGAGCAGAGGAAATGATCTAGCTTAAAGAAACTGCTGTTTTCACATCTCAGCACATCCATTCAGCTCTAAACAATTGCACATAGCAGTTGTCCTAACTTCTTCCTTCAAGCAGGAGGTGTGCTCTCTTCGGGCAGGGCTGCATGATGGGAAGCCATCCCACGTGAGTACGGACCGGACATGCAGGACCTACCACAGCCAGGTGTAACGAGTTGTGGCATCTATTTAACCAGCAGTTCCCAAACATCTTGTATTTATCATCAACACTCAAGGTTTCTCAAGAATCACCACCTATGCCCAGTTCTCAGCAAGGGTCTAACTGAAAACATGATTTAATATGATTATGGGGACTAGCTACGGGTCATTTACCTTGTCTTGAGGACCACAGTCTAGGACTGCTGGTGTAGTACACTGCAATTTTGCTGAATTATTTTCAAATTCTGTTGGTTATTGGGAGTTACTGAACACCTACTTCATTTCATTTTATCCTGGGTCAGCTGAGTTTTGCTAAAAGCAGGAACTGTCACTGTTAGTCTACATTATAATGAGTTCAGGGAGTCTGTCACTAGAACAATAGATCCAGGCGTAGACACTGCAACTGGTTTTAATCTGCAGAGAGTTGATCTGGTTCCAACAACATTCTGCAAACACCATCAGACACAATCAGCTGAAAACTGCTTCAAGCTACTCAGCAGACATGTCATCCAGGTACCATGGAGTGTTACTTCCCATATGCTGCCAGAGCACAGAAATAGGGTTATGACAAGAGAAGAACAGATTCAGTCTGAAATCTCCATGTAATTAATTCACTTGCCCTTAAGAATCATTACAAGAAATTTCCTATCGCAAAGCCAGCAAACCCACCAGAACCAACAATAGTGTTGTTGCCAGTACAGCACATTAGACCTTGCAAAGAATTAATACAAGCTCTGTCAGCTATCAAAAATCCCAGCTTTTGCACGATCGACAGTCTAATTGGCAAACTGGCTGAAATTCGTATGCTGTGCTCAGGCAGCTGATATAGCAACTTAGGAAAGACTTACAACATCTGTGATGGATGTACATTTTCTTTCCTAACCAGTCACGGAGAACTTTGCCCTAAATTGCTCCATTGCTTTCGCTTACCACTGCCACTGGCATTACTGTTGCCTTTACGAAGCATTTTCCTCACTTGTGATGCTGCGGACCATTTCCATCCAAGCTCAGGGCCATATTCTGCCATCACTTTCACGCTGCATATCTCAGGATTTAAAATTAGGCAAGTAACGAGTCTCTGCCATGTAATTTACATCTAATCAGTATTCTGCTCTTCTGCTGCTCATCTCAAAGGGTGTCTACGAGAAGGGTGGGCAGCGTGCAGAGAGGACTGCAATTCATTCGAAAGAGAAAACTATCCCCTCTTAACGCATGGGTGCATGCTGGAGGAGCATACGCAACCAGCTCTGCCAGCCGTGCCATGCTGGAAACCTTCCCCGAGGGGTTGAACCAAGTCCACGCAGCAATGCATGCACTGGAGAGGTGAGGCCCAGCTCTAGAAACTGCACAAAGGAACTGCTCTCACCCACTACACCCAAACAGATCATCTCCTCTCCTGTACAACCCTCGCAGCTACACAGACACAGAAGGTGCGAGGGATTATTCCACCCAAATTACAAGGCAGTTATTGCTCCTTTCCCCTTCTCTCCAGGGCTTACAGGAGCCAACTAGCACTGGAAATGCTCCCTGCAGAGCTCCTGTTTCTACTACATGCGCAAAGCCTCCGTTCATACCGGCGAGGCATCACTGACACGAAAGAGACAAACTGCCATCAACACCTTCCTCCTTGGTGCCGCCCATGCAGTTTGGCACCTTTGTGCCTTGTTTAGATGGTTATGAAGAATTTGAGCATTTATTACCACGAATTTCTTAACCGCTGGTACCAGAAGGCAGAGCGGTACCACCCCATAGCACTGAAGGAACTGAGGCTGCGTCCATCTGAAATGGGGAAAGAGGGGCAGGAGAGGGCACAGGACAGGAGGAGGAGGTTACTCTGCAAGGACAGGAGAGCAGCCAGAGCTGCAATAGAAGACGCTACAGGTAAAGGACAGAGACAAGGGATCAGAAAGGAAACGTTTAGTTATTCAGCTGAACTCACAGCCTTGCTCTCTTGGCAGTGTCACGGACTGACCAGACCACTATATCCCAGATGGACTTTATGCTTTGGACTCCATCTCTCGGATCTGGTGCAAGCAGGAGCCTGGTGCAGACGAACAAGCTCCTGAAAGAAGGGCTGCTCCTTGTCCGTTCTTTACGTAACAGAGCCAGCTCACCTTCCTGCCGGGGTTATTCTCTGTCTGCGGTTTAGCAGAGTTCAGAGCATCCTGGACGTCAACACCTTTGCTGCCAATCCCCGTTCGTACCAGCACCCATCCTTTGCATTGCATGAAAAGCAAATGACAAACATACGGACAGCAAAGTATTTTTATTCCATCTTTATTGCCTGCTGACATGTTCAATATGCTCAAACTACATCTGAGGGACTGCATAGAGAGTGTTTCTTGTTTATATTTGATGTACGGCAGAACACTTTACATTGCACCAAATGTTGAGCAAACGGTAACATAACAGAGAAGCTGCAGTGGCAGCTGGAATTTCTGAGGTGGGCTACAGAGACTCTCTGGGGGCAAAAGTCTGCTCATCTTATTCAAATGAATTGCTTTTCTGGCCAAATTCTACTCTTATGTGCCAACTGACGAATACAGACCTAGTAGCATGAGAAAACATGGAATAACTCTGAGAGCTTCAACTCCACAGCATGCTGAAGGACATATAACAACTGAAAACTAGAAAAGTGATTGGAACCACATAGAATGGCCAGAAGAAAGGCTTCTTGAGAGAGACATAGGAATCCATGTCCAAACCTGCAAACCCTTGCACAGAAGAGTATCAATAGATTTATTTACAGGAGAAGGTATGTTAGGAAAGAGGATCCTCTGCTTTGGAGAATCCCTGTTCACAGGGAAAAAGGGACTGAGAACTTGGTCTAATAGGAACGAATCATCTCTCAGGGAAAAGCAATACTAATTGCTCTACAGGTGATCACAGATTGAGACAGTACTTTTAACTTCATTTCAGAACATAACAAGGAAACATACAGAGAAAAGCAATCCCTCAATCCCTGCCCAAGAACAGGGTCACTGCCTAATGTTCCCAAAAGGCCTTTCCTTCATTATGGCCTCTGCTGCTTCTTACCCAGGAGGCAGTTTGGGATTTACCTCCAGTGGTCTAGCTTCGCAAGACCTGGGTTCCCCTGCGAGGTGCCAAGCACCCTACCTCAGCAGGGACCTGGCCAGTCCCGGCACGGAGGGTGCATTTGCAAACCAGATGCCTCTAGGAATGGATTACACAGATCCTAAACCCATCAGTTTTACCTAAATCTAAATATACTGCTTGGGCAGAGAGAGGCATCTCCTGTGGCTGCTCTGCACTAACTTCCCCACTTCTGTGGCCATTTTGACCCCATTTGTAGTACAAAACGAGCACTTAAATTGTTGCTGCTGATCATACTTGGTTATTGCACTAGGTACTCAACTGGTCTCTCCAAATAGGCTCCTACTTACATGGGTCATGCACATTCATAAATCCCTTTTACCTCCTCAGGATGGATTTTCTTATCTGCCACATAATTTAGCGCTACGGAGGCCGACAGTGATGGACAAAGCAATTAAGCTTCCTACTGAGACAGTTGAACTTGGAGTAATAATTAACCCTAAACAAACTAACCAGTTTACACCAGGTGATTTAGGACCAGAGAAGCCAACTGTGTAAGGTAGAAGATGGACTGCATGGACTCCTCCCCTTATTGGCACAGGAAAGCCAGCACACAAGCCTGCTCCATCCCAAATGTGGAGCCTGATGCACCTGGTTTACACCGTCTCAGTTCTTACACACGGGTGAAATCTTGGCCCCTCTGCGGCAGACCTGCCATCTGCTTCATCGGCAGTAGGATTTCACCCTCTGACTTGATCACTTTGGATCTGGGCTGGCACAAGATCTCAGTTGGATCCCATGTTATTCTGTCAGAGCATCTCTGTGTTGCTTTCACCACAGGACCCTGCACAAAGCTTTCATTTCTCATACTTGGAGACAACATACCGTGGGGAACCCAGAGAGGAGGGAGGGAGAGAAGGACCCAAGAGGGCTCTGTGGCTTTATCAGGTTGGTGCTAAGATGAAGCTGCTCAAACTGAGGCCCCATACTTCTGTGGCCAACGCATGGTTTCAGCTGTCCTTGGGAAGGTGCGGGAAGATCTAACACACCAATCATAGAATCACAGAATCATTAAGGTTGGAAAAGACCTCTAAGATCATCAAGTCCAACCGTCAACCCAACACTACCAGGCCCACTAAACCAAGTCCCTAAGCGCCTCATCTACATGTCTTTTAAATATAGAATCATAGAATTTAAATATAGAATCACAGATCCTTTAAGGTCACAGGACATCATCTGCCTGTTTCCTTGAAATTCTTAACCATGGTCAAATATACAGGTCTACTGAAACTTGGAGGGCAGAAAGTGAAAAAAAGAAAAAAGGGAAAAAGGAATAAAGACATTGCAAAATGATCGATGAGAGCTGCAAACAATGAGAGGTAGTAATGAACGCGAAGGCAAGATAAACGACAAGAATGAAATACTGACTCTGATGTAGCCAGTGATGAAACTTCTGTAGATTTTAATGGACTTCAAATTTTACCTGGAAGGCTCAAAAGGGAGCATTTGCACCCAAGTACCTCCAGCCAAGACAGACCGAGCTTCCTCCTCATCTCATTAATTCCTCACTAAAATTGGTTCTCCATTTCACCAAGCATTCATTTGCATCAGGAAACTCATGGCTAGAGGTCTGCAACTGGGATATCCTTGAGAAGTTGTATACATTTAGAAAAAAATCCATGACTTAACAGACACCCTACGCAGAACCACAGCTCTGCATCTATTATACAACACTGAAAATGGTCAGAACAAAGACTTAAATATTTCATGTTGTGATTTAAGATCACTTCTAGTTAAATCTGTTACCTGGACCAGGACAAAGAATCGTTTCTTCCATCTCTTCCAAACATTTTTACCAATGGCCCATAAATATCTAGGAGAAAAAAATAGGTGAATTCAGTACACAAGTGCCTATATGTTTTTCTCTTGCTTTTCAGTATGTTTTCTTCACACCTAGAAACTGAAGTTAATGCACAAGCAGGAGTAATTACAAGACTTTTAAGCTCAGCAGCATTCATGAATGTGTTTATTTCTAGCTTGAACAAATAACCTGTAAAGAAAGTGACACAAAAAGCTCCCAGGGTTTTAATGTTACACAGTATTAATTCTCTCTTCCTCTTTGTCTTTCACAACTTGCCCAGAATTCAGAAGCCCTTTAATGCCAGTGAATGGCTACGACATGGTCGGATGGGTGAAGAATACATTTGCAATAGAAGAATTAGGGGAGAGAAACCCCAAATGTTGCTTTAAACTGTCACAAAACCATTTGGCTGAGGGGAGCTGTCAAACAAAGGGATACTTTCTACATCAAAACCAGTACTCGGGATCCACTGGACTGACTAAACAAGGACACTTTGCTGAACAGCTTAAGATGAATTCCTAGAAATCGCTTGGCTACAGATATTCAAGCAAACTGAATAATTTCTAAGGAGGAGTGAATTTACTGTTTTCTACAAAGGAAGAATTAACTTTTCAAATTAATGTCAAAATTAGCATTTAATCTCTGTGATGAAGCAGCCACTGTGACACTGTAATACAAACACTGGCAAAAGTAGTGGCAGCACCAGACTAATAATAAACACAAGGACATTATTCAGCATTAATATGTTTTATGTATCATTATAATTACTTTAGTTCTGGCTCAATACATAGAAAAACAATTCCTTTTTGGTTATGCTAGTGGTTCTTTATGCCAGAAGAGATCCAACATACTCTTAGTGAATGTTTAAGCCACAAAACTCCAAGTCATGCTAATGTGGGCACTGAGTCCTTGGCTAGTTCAAGAACAGGGAAAGAATTGTCCTTTTTGCTATTGCCGCTAACATCAACAGAAAGACAATCTCAGTTCTGATAGCGAGCTAGTGTTACAAACCACATCGTTTTAAGCAGCATCTTGTAAATTGAATGTTAGTTGAAGAAAGCCTGAGAAAAGCCAGGACTGCTCAGCCCTGTTGCTATCAGCTGCGGTCAAGGAAACAAATATGACAGGTGAACTGTCCTTTCTTGCTTTTGGTGCCTGTGATCATGGTGGAAAAATTAAACTTCACGTGTGGCTATTGGCTCTGATCTCATTAGCAGAGAAGACAGGAGGAGGAGGAGACGGGATTAAAAGAAAGATGAGTGATCTAAACCACGTAATAATGGATTGAATCTAACAGAACATTATGAAAATAAAAATGAAACAAAGTCACTTTTATAGCACCAAAAACATACTGGAGAAAGAGTTAATCAAAACACTGACTCTCCTGGATAGTTTCTGTTTTTTATCACATCCTCAGTTCTGAAAAGCAAACATAGGAAAGCCTTGCCAATGGTGTTAGCTAGATCTTCCCAAGGATGATCTAATTGGTAATTGCACAACACGAAGGTGGAAGCCAGGGGTGTGGGTCAGGGCTCTCCCTGGCCCCAGATCCTCTGACACTCACGTCTGGAGGAGAGAGGTTTCCCTTTTAACCTTCCAGATCATTAGTCCTACTCCAGGCAACTGCCTACTCCAGGCAACTGCTATTTAATTGTGCTGTATCTCTGTATAAATAATGACTATCACACTGGAGTTTATTTCAAGCAGAAGGTGTGCTGTGCTTTCGGTTCTGAGAAGTCAATCCAGGGAAACACAGAATAACTTAAGAAATTATACCATTCTCAATAAGAAAGTCGAGCAGTTCACCTATTATTTCCTTACAGGAAAAAAAAAACCCTAGCAATTTCCTGAGGAATACTGTTTAAAATTTAAACTGTTGGGCTGATATACATTAAAAAGACTATGGTAAGAATATGGAAAGTGGATTATAAATGACTGAATTAATGCCATTTTTATATTTATCTTTCTTTTGACCTCCTGTGAGCTTGAGAAAAAGAGTTTCTCTTCCAGAATCTTAAAAAAGAATTTTTCTAATGCACATTCAAAACAAATTGAGTTCAGATCAAAACAAGCATTTACCCAGAGTGTTTCATGTTTTGAGGCTTATCCATTCGCACGGCAAGCTTGATCTTCAGGTCTTGATCCGGGCAGTTTTTGGAAACAGTCATTTTGTGCCACTCTGATTGCTTTGGGCTATTGGGAGTAGGGTGGAGAACAACCTGCAGGTGACAAAATCAACAACGTTAAAGGGAAAAATTATCCACAAAATGGGTTTTATTGGGGAACAAAAGCACATCAGATGAGCTACTTTTCCCCTAAAAGTCAGTCTGGAAATTTCTATTCACATCAGTGAGCATGGCTTTTTATTGCTTTTTTAAAGCACAGCTTATTATTTTGAGATTATTCATATATTCTTTGGCTCCTCTACCTACTATGCCATTGTTGATGGGGTTGTGCAGAACAGAACTGCATTATCAGTTCTCATCGTTTAAGGAAAGACCGTGGTAAATGAACTTACAACGGTGCAGGTAAATCAGTCTAGAAGTGATGTGGACTAATGTGACTAGCAAACCAGCAACAAGTTTTTTGCTGAGGTTGCCCATTGCAATCTCCCACTTTCAGACTCATGCAACTTGGTCAACTCCAACCTTCCTGACATGTCCCATGTGAGATAAGCTGTTTTGAGGGCTCAGAAAGCTCCACCTAAAATGGTTCACCTACTGCTACTATTGGGTTATGGGGAAGCTGGCTTGATTTTTTGCTTACTGTTAAGACTGGATGCAGTAGGCAATGTTTTAGATAAGTTGGTGTGTCTGACTGCACTACGACAGCAGATAAAATCTGCATCCCATGTCATGACATCAGTGGCTGCAGGACTCTGCTTCCATTTCATGCAGTGAGGAAACGATGGGATGGTCTCCAGCTGGGGTAAATGAGTGCAACACCAATGATTGCAGTGGAGCTGTGCAGATGAACACCAATGGAAGTGCTTGGCTCATCAAAGAAACTGAAAGGCTCCAAGAGGTGAATAATCTTTCCTGATCATATCTGGGCTTTTCCCACTCACCCATTAGCCCTACAAAGCAGAGCAGCTCCCTCGGACAGTGAGCCACAGAGTATTTTCCCAGAACTACACCACATCCACCATCTTCTCCTGGTATTTCCATATGTGTTCTCTGAGGTGGCTTAACCCTCTCCCTCCTACGCCTATTCCTCTTCTGATGCTTTCCACTCTCAGAGGTGACTTTGCCTGGCACAAACGCATTCAAGTCTCCACTGTCCTGTAGTGAGATGAATCTCCTTTAAATCCATTAACCTTTCCGCAAGCAAATTATTTTACAAATGGCAGCATTCACCCTCGTTATTTGCTGTGCTTCCATCACTCATTTCTTGCTCACACTTAGTCTGTGCTCCTGCCAAACTCCAGCCCAGACTATAATCTTGTATTCCTCTGCTCTTCAACTTTACTGCTGAGTCAACAACCTAGGGGCTGTTTTCCACCAAAATATCCTTGACGCTATCACCCTCTGACGAATGATTTTAAAAATTATTTTATTGCCTCCTCTAAAGACTGAGGTTAACATCAGTAGATTCTCCACTTCACCCTTATTCATCAACACTATTTATCACTTCTTTTATTCAATTAGACTAATGCTTTCTCTGGCAGGAATCTGAAGCTGGTATTAGTTAGATAGATAACTGAGCAACACTAGTCTCTACTGCATCACTCTCAGGAAAAAAAACACATTTAAGCAAATCCTGAAAATAAGAAGTGAGTCCTCCACGAGCGGTGTTATTAGAAACATGGATGGACCCAAACTCTGAGCAGCTTCCGAGGACCCACTGCAAGGCAGGTCATGCACTAAACCCCATCTCTCAGCGAGGCAGCTGCCGCTCTTGGTGTTTGGGATGCTCTCTACTTTGATTTCTAACTCTTTTTACCAAAAGGCGCATAAACTTTGCTCAGTGTTGTTGTAATTCATGGCTCTTCCCCTCCTTGCTCTCAGTAGATGAAGTCTTGGCATGGCTGAAATCCGTGGGAGCCCTGCCACCGGCTTCAATAGGGCCAGGATGTATTCCCATGCCTTCAGCTGCCCGTCCAGCAGTTTAGGGCTTGGGAGCATTTTCCAGCTCTCCCTTCGATAAAAGTGGTGAAATGAGGAGTGCCGGCCGGTTGCCAGTTTAACACTTGCGATAGAAAGTGAGCATTGTACATGCCTGGCAGAGCACAAAGCTGCTTCTCAAAGGGCGGCTGAGCATGGGTGTTTTTGTGTATAAAATCTGCTTCCCTCCCCTCTCCGTGCAGACAGGTTCGTGCCCACTCCAACAGCTAAATCAGGGGCTTAACATGCTCCCGATTTCATTATTTCATTAAAAAAGAAATCCTGATGCAGCCTGACGCGTCATCTCTCGGCTGCTCCGGGCACACCAAACATCCCTTTGATGTTTGTCCGACTGAAAGCGCTGGTGGCCACAGGCCAGGGGAAATCACCGCCTGGCTCCCCGTGCTAGCTGCTGCTGGCCCACATCCTTTGGACTGCAGAAGCTCAGAGCGGAGGGATGGCTTCCCGCTTGGACCAGGAATTAAAGCACATTGGCGGGGCTGGCTCATCAGCGTTTCAGGGCAAGCGGGGTTGCTTTGGGGCCTGACGTCTTTCTCAGAACAACATGCACAGCTAATTGCTTCCCGAGACCAGCAAAGTCAGCACTGCTCAGGGCTGTCAGTGGAAACAAGACTTACAACGCAAGCGGGTCTACACCGAGTGTAACCACTCAGGGGAAAAAGCCCTGAATGGCATCGCGGCCGGCCGGGTGAAAAGCTCTGCTCAGCATGTTGCAGCAGATAAAGGCAGGAATGATCGGCTGTTTGAAGAACAAGGTTTTGAAAATAATCATGAAAATATTATGATGCTGTGCGGCACAGCAGCTGTAGGTCTTCAGCTGGAGTACTGCAGCCTGGTGGGGTCACCCTCTTTGTGAAAAAAGGAGCAGGACAGGGGGAAAGGAAGGATCACGGTGCGGATGAGGAAAGTCCAAAGGGGCTGTGACTCTTTGAAGAGAAGATTGAGAGGAGAAAAGAAGGGGTAGTTTTGCTTTTCAGTCTCTCAAGTGCAATAACAAAGGATGTTACATGAACATGAAAACCCAAATAGCTAAAATGAACATAAATTATATGAGACAAAATCACATGCAGCACTCTCCACCATAAAGATATAAATTAGATCAACAGCTCACTAGGACCTGGAAAAACGTTTGGCACTTGTATGAATAGGACGAATACAAAACCACGTTAATTAGGAAAACTGTTTTACAGACACAGACTCTCCTGTGTCAAGGCACAAGCAGCCATGGAGGTAGCAAGACACATCCCAACAGGTTAGTCCATAATTGTAAATACTGCACTTGGGCTTGCCACAGGCTCAGTGACTTTCTTGGCTATGGCTTTCTTGGCCATGGCCATGTAGACAAGGCAGAGAGCAAGGTGTGTTGCAGAGCCGGGCAGACAGAGCCCAGGCTGCTCCTGGAGATCGCTCAGGCCATGCTGAGCCATGACATGGGAGGTGCCAAGCCTATGTGTAAGGTGCAGCCTCTCTTCCCGTGAAATGGTTTTCATGGGGTCTTCACCATGCAGATCTCTCACCCTTGAAGAGCTGAGGAAGGGATGGCAGGGAGTTTGCTGCCATGCCTGGGGCCAACACAAATTATACCGCTGCAAAAAATCCATGGAGACTAACTGAAGTGTCCCAAAGCCACAGAAAAGTGCCGTCCACAGATATTCTGGAGCTGTGGGCTGCAGTGATGGAGGGCAACCAACCCCAGGGTGCTAGTTTAGGGAACCACAGGTGAGAGGCAGAGATGGGGTGGGAAGGTTGGCTCTGTGGCCAGTACCCCGGGAATCTGAGCTCTTCGCTATGAACCTCCACATTTCAGACCAGCCCCACTGAAGCCACCAGTTCAGCCACAATCCCCGGGGGAGCCAGGATTTCAAGCCCTTTGCAGTGAGTACTGCAGTAGTGCTTTCAAATGCTCAAACCGTGCACCAGCTGCTCAGCAGATATGAGAGCAGCTTAACGCTCTCTTGCCAAACTTAAATCCCCTCTTTTTGCTTCAGCATAATCCCCTTTTCTGCCTCAGGAACGTCCATTTCCGTAAGCAACTTCTAAGGCTTTCCGGACTGCCAATATCGCATACAAGATCCTCTGCCTTTGCTGAGTGCAGGCACAGCCAGCTGAAATGCTGCCATTAAAAACTCACAACAAAGACAGCATGCGAGATGCACTCCTTTCCAGCAGTGGGGAGCTTGCTTTTTTCCCCCCTTCTGAAGCTTGGCAAAAAAGCAGAGCATGTTGTGCTCCAAAGATATTTCCATACAGGAGAGATTTCTCTAGAAAAGCAGGGCCAGAAGGAAACGTTATTAAACTCAAAGTCTCCTTACCCTCCCAAGCTCTTTGTCCTCCAGAGCCAGCACTCCTGTACTCTCTGTGAACAGCTTCACCTTCACTGCAGGAAGCGCGTGTGTTGTCGTGAAGTCTCCTTGGGTGCCCCAGCTGCAAAAACAGGGACAGAGAGATGTTCAGCTCCGCTGGCAGGTCAGCAGTGCTACACCTTGGACATGCAATGGTTAAACGAAAACGTCCCGTCTGGCACAAGCCGAAGTGGCTGGGCTGTCTGAGTGACAAGGGCATTAATTATCTTCTTAGGGAAATCTGGGACAGATGTTTGGAAAACCCATGATGGTTCTTTGGGGAAAAAAAGAGAGTATTTGGGAGCAACATGAAAACAAATTTAAGAGAACTTTTTTATTTAGAAAGAACTATAGGTCTCCTGCAGCAACAGCCTGTATAATCACAACAGAAGTTGAGGATTGAGGACATCTGCACCTAGGACATCTGTAATCGCTCATGCCTCTGCTCTTCTCTTGGCTAATCAACCTCTCCTTTACAGGTTAAGAGTGAGGTTTGTTTTCTCTGAAGAAACCCCAATTTAACCTGGGTCCTCTTCCAAGTCCCAGCCCAGCCCTCCAGCCCAGCCCAGGTTTAAGTTCAAGCCATTACCTCTAGAGTAATCCCAGTTTGCTGGGACTGCAGAGCAGGACACCAGCTCCTTGGGGATGGGACGGCAGTGGCCAGGAAGCGGCCACCTCTCCAACTACGCAATGAACCAAGACCATCGTCTACTATTTGTACTCCATGAGTCATCCCCTGGCTGGTCGCGTGGCTTGGAAAGCAGTGCTACGGAGGCTGAACGACCCACAGCATATGAAAACCCCCTCTAGACATCCGTGTTTCTAGAGGACATCTCCAAGCTCCTGCAACCACAAGCTGCCCGAGTGTGCAGAGAACATGAACTCATTCCATGTGGGCCCTGCACGCACACGGTCCCAGCCACAGTCTGCCGACACCTATGGCCAAACTTGCCATTTTAAGACAAGGGGAGCCCACCCCGCAGCTGACCTTCCCCGCATGAGGGTGGGAACTGCAGCAGCCCTGCAGCCCTCCGGAGGGAGGTCTGGTGATGGGCCTGAGCACGCCACGCTAGAGGTTCCCTCTCTGGCCCCAGGCACTTGGGGAAGCTTTGAGGACAGAGCCCCAGTTGGGCCACAGCCCATTGCACTTTGTTAAAGGGACTTTCCTCCTGGGCCCTGTTCCCGTCCCAGCGAGCAGCATGCTGCAGCTGGAGCTGCTGCCTGGTGACACCCGCGAAGGCTCACCTGAGCTGCGCTGGCGAGCATCCTCGTGGGGTTCTCCTAAAGATACCCAGAGCTTACACAGTAGTCAGCTTCGATTTAGAGAGATCGTAGGGAAAAGAAATCTGTGAAAGACCTGTTCAACATCCTAAGGGCCACAGCTTTTCCAATAGGCTCATGAAGAGTCTCCACAAGTGGTGCCAGTCACACCAGCAAATCAAATTTCTCACCTGGGCTAAAGCTTTTGAGGTAAAGGAGAACACTCCCCTCTGGCAAACAAGCACAGACAGAAGAGGGTCACGGAACAAAAATTAAGTGGAACTTGAACTAATGCCTATTTGTAAGCTTTAAACAATTTTGAAAGTAGCAGAGAAGAGAATACCTTCTACACTTAAGGGATAAAAAGTCATGATGCTTTTATGTTTGAGACTTCACAGCTGTGTTTCAAGCCTTGTTTCTACAGCTTAGAAAGTTAGAAACTTATTAAAATAAAGCTAGACAGAAACTTCCAGACAGAGCAAAGCACTCCTAAAACTGCATGTGCCCTTGTTAGCAGAGAACAGGTCAGCCAAAGATGAAGGGCAGAGGGAGGACTGGGGAAGAGAGCACCACTGCAAGAAGGATGCTCCTGAACATCCGATCATGCAGAGGCCTAACGCGAAACTAGCAGATAAAACCTGCTCTTTTTTCTTTTTTTATTCTCTTTCTTTGTCTTTTTTTATAATTCATTGTGAGCTAGCTTTCTATATTGTTCCCAGAGATCCCGAAAATTCATCACATTTCAAAACTCATACCAAGTGTACAAGCAAGCTTGAAGAATAATCTCAGACAAGGTGCTTTTTGTACAAAAGCGTGCCGTGAGCAACACCTCCAAGTGATGTGATGGAACACACACTGCAACCTAAAATACTGCAAGTCAGATGAGAGATTATATCTCACAAACCACATCCATTCACCCTCACCCTATTAATGATACTTTCTCATTTTACACTGTCCTCAAACTAGATCCTCTGCTGAAGAAAGGCAGTTCCCTTGAAATGACTGGGAAAAGGCTCAGGTGACATGTGGTCCAGCGACTAGATGTTCTTCAAACATAAATACCAAACAGCAGGTTTTGCATTTGGAAAGTTATCGGGAAAAATAATTTACTCCTTCCTGTTCCCAAGGAGTTCTACGCTTTGCTCTTCTCTGAGCAAATCCTGTTCAACTAAGCTTAACAGATGAGCGTGTTCAGCGCATAGCTGATTAACGAACTCAGTTTCTTCGTCAGCTTTGCCCTGAAGTTTTCTCTCCCAGTGTCACTGTCCCACATGTTTCATCTTTTATGACGATGCATCAAACTGCCACCAGTGCCAGGGAGCAGAAGTTTGGCATAAATTATCTACAGCACTACAGGTCCAGTCAGACCCTCCATATTACATCTTTTTCATGTGTGAGCCATCAGCTCCCTAATAAATGTTTCAAGCATAAGAACGAAGAAACAACCTTATTTTCTAACTGCAGCTTCAGGTCACACGTTATGTTTTCTCTCTTAAAAAAACTGCATTGTCACCAGCAGGGAAAGCGGGAAGATAATCTTGCTTTGGGTAAGAGGGAAAAGTAAGAAAGTATCCAACCTTACACATGTATTTTGACAGCATCTGCTTTATAGAACTCATATCTCTGTTTACTGTTAAAAAGCTCTTATTTGCTGAAGCATTCCCAGACCATATGTTATCAACAAATGTTACTAACCAAATACAAACAGTAATTTTCATTAGGTTTCCTTCATGAGAACAACATTAACCACAAAGGGAATAAATGTTTCAAATGACACTAAACATGCATAGCAAACCCTTGACAACACTGTGGTGCTTACATATTCATACCCCCAAAAGCCCTGAAAAGATCCGCGCCAACAAACAGAGACCCTCAGAAGTTGGGTTTTGTGCAGGTTGAAGCCTGCGGTGATGTCATTAGTTGCCATAGTGATGCTCAGCATAAGGCCATAATTCATGTCACTGAAACATCATTTGTATTCAATCTAAGTACGCAGTTTATCTGTGCTGTGTATTAAATTATTGTTCAGAAAATTAGCTCTGGACAGTAGTTAGTCCCTCAGATGATCCTAATGCCTAACAGTGTAATGGTTTCATTTCCATGTTTAATAATTAAGCAGGTTATCACTGCAGGAGTTTATTTGTTGGGAAAGTGCCTTGGCACCTGTTCTGGACAAATCTTCTCATGAAGTAGCCATGCTACCTTGTCCCCATATCACAGAGCTCATGCTTACACTTCAGCGCAATAATACTTCTCCAAACAAGGACAAATAATGTCATTCTGGTCAAAAGGATATATATACACATCACTTCAGCGCAATAATACTTCTCCAAACGAGGACAAATAATGTCATTCTGGCCAAAAGGATATATATACACACCAGAGAAAAGGACGATACAAGCAGATAAATCATGCCAGTACTTTCTCAGTTAGGACCATAGTAACTGTCCGAATCCCTCCTGAACCCCTCAGCCCAGCATTTCTTATTGCCCAGTGTATTCAAAGCCTGGAGCTGGCCAAGAAATGCTACCATGCATGAGGACTTTGCTGGAATTATCGCCCTATTTATCGCATCTGTGCTGTTCCAGTGATACCTGGATCTACTTGCATCTCCAGGGTTTCTCACTAGGCATCAAACTTAGGACGAGTAGCTAAACTCTTCTGGCTGCAAAGAGCCAGAGGATGAGGTATGCCCCAGGTGCTAATTTGACAAGTGCTGGCCCTTGTTTTACCTTTTACAAGCAAAATAAGTAGATCATCACTGTAGACTTCGTGTCTATAGATTCACCTAGAGGTGCCATCACAGTTACTAACCAAACAGCCTAAAACGCTGAGATTTTTTCCTGAATGAAACATAAAATGACACAGATCCAGAAGGTGTGAGTAGACAACAAGGGAGGAAGGTCACCCTTGTCCCCCACTACCTCCATCGCCTTGTCTAACGTGGAGCACTTGAAGGATGGGCCTACCTGTCTGATTTCAGGAGCATCTGGGAGCTCTCGCAGGCACTGTCCTGACTGGCACACGGAGGGAAAGCGATGCCATTGCCGATGCAGGTGCCAGGCTGCTCAGAAAGCTGCTGTCAGCTGTTTCAAGCAACACGTTGGCGATCTTCTGGCAAACCTTCAGGTTGATGCTACTCAGCCCTTCCCACTTATGAACAAAACAAGTAAGACCACCTAGCTCCTCACATTGCCAGCTGTTTTTCTCCATGATATCCCACTTATGTGGCCTAATCTACAATCTTCTGTCCTTGAGAGACATTGACTTAATCATTTCTACTCACGTCTTGTGTGTGAGTTCCTCTAAGTGACACTTTAGTACCCACGACCTTCCCAAAAGTGAACATACACGTTAGTACCTAGGAGAATGCATTAAATTCTTTCATTCACGTACTGTGGTCTCCAGCAAGCCTGCTTAGCCCCTGCCTAATTTGAAACAGTAACCCTTCTTCCATCATTGGTCTTGTAACTTGATGTGGCCAGAACATCGATGCCTGTGATTTCTATAAATAATGAACAAGCACAACTGAATTATATTGCTGGGCCATGAATCAGCCCCGCTGACCAGCTCAGCCTGTCAGTAGGCTAACAGGGGAGCAGCTGGAGAGGGATGTGCTTTCGACGGGGTTGACATTTAAACATGATCTATGACTAGATCTACGACTAGATCTACGACTAGATCTATGACTAGATCTATGACTAAACATGATCTATGACATAGATCATTTAAACATGATCTATGACTTTTCACGGGCTTCAAAACTGCCAGAGGACACCTTTTCTCCCTCTCCAGACATATTTATTGAAACGGGTTTGCTTG